CTTCAAGGCCAAAAACATGCATGCTGGGCAGCCTTCAAGCCCAGGCCTCCCTTATTAAAGAGACCTGTGATCTCAGTGGGATTTACTTGGTTAAATAAAAGCTAATAAAATAAAAAGGGTTAATGTTCCAAAGAAGTGAGGGGGCTAGGTGTGCAAGAGGCGTGTGCGGAACAGACAGAGGAGGAGCGTTATGAATAAGTTATTATTATTATTGTTGTTATTAATATCATTATTAATATTGAATAATTTATTCAATCAACTCTTTAGCAATACCGTATGCATACATTCAAAAGAGGGTTCCAGTGAATTTTTTAATTCCATCTTCAGCGAATGACTGAGTCAGTGTTGGACAAAATTTATAAACACTGGCAAAAGCTATCAAAAACATTAGCGTGACAGCCTTTACCAAAGTGAGAACAACACAGTAAAAAAAAAAAAAAAAAAAAAGATCACTGTTGAATGTTTTTTTATTATCTAGACTGTTTGGGTAGGAGCTGATTCTTGACACAAAGAGACAAAGGGTCATTTATAAAATTAATAATCTGAATTGACATTTACATACGCAGTCCTATGTTAACTGGTCTAAAACTGTAAGAAAATTGAAAAAAATAATTTTACTTTTCTTTGTCCTTACCCCAGTAGGTTTCCCATCCAGCATCCTGGATGCCTTCTGCAGATTTCAGTGGATCATACACCTTCTTCTTACTTCCATCAACTAGGCAAAAAGAATAAAAATAAAAAAAAACACAAAAAGCATAACTATTACGATAAACTGATATTTAAAGCACTCGGGAACTAACTGAATAAAAACTATACTCAATAATACTCAAATTGTTGAACAAATGTACTGAGACTCCTACATGGACTCATACAAGAGATAGAACAAAACAAAGTACAGTAGTTTTGAATATTTATGCTTGAAAGATTTAAAATTTTCCAAGGAGGAAAATAAAGATTTTGATTGTATAAAATAAATTTATGAGAGGAATAATTAGATACCTGTTATTTTGTTTATCTTTTACTTCTTAGGCACAATGAAATTTGTATCTAGAATTAAAACAGAGAATTTGCAAATCCATCCATCCATTCATTCATTATCTTTGCCCGCTTCTTCCATTTCAGGTTGTGGGCATCACTGTTATCCACGTTCAGCAGTCTCCAGTCCATCACAGAGACACATAGAGACAAACGAGACCAACGACCATTAACTCTCTCACTCACACCTAGGGACAATTTAGAGTTGCCAGTCAGTCTAACATGCATATTTCTGGTCTGTGGGAGGAAAAAGGAGTACCTGGAGAAAACCCACGCAGCACGGAGATAACATACAAACTTCACCCAGAAAGGTGGAGCACAAAAGGCAGGGTTCTAAACTGGCGACCTGCTCGCTGAGCGGCAAACGCTCTAACAACTGCACCACCTTGCCACCCAAATTTGAAATCAGTTTAAATTTTTTTTATTTTAAGGTGCTGGTTTTTATAAAATAAAAATTTATTTATTATTTATTTATTTATGAATTAACTTTTCAGTCTTTCTTCCTCCTATGATGGCATCAATCTGGCTTCCAGTTCTAATGTTAAAAATCTTGGTGTTATTTTTGATCAGAACATGTATTTTATCCCCATATTAAAAATGTTACTAGAACTGCCTTCTTCCACCTGCGTAATATCGCTAAAAATAGAAACATCTTATTTAAAAATGAAGCAGAATAACTGGTTCATGCATTTGTCATGTCTAGACTGGACTATTGCAATGGTTTATTATATGGGTGTCCAAATACTTCTTTAAAAAGTCTTCAGTTAAGACAAAATTCTGCTACCAGAGTCTTAACTGGAGTTAGTAGGAGAGATCACATCTCTCCAGTTTTAGTTTCTCTACATTTGCTCCCTGTCAAATCCAGAATAGAATTCAAAATCCTACTTCTAAGCTACAAAGCTCTCGACAGCAACCTAGAAACCGGATTCCAAAAAAGTTGGGACACTAAACAAATTGTGAATAAAAACTGAATGCAATGACGTGGAGGTGCCAACATATAATTATTTTATTCAGAAAAGAACAAAAATTACAGATCAAAAGTTTAAACTGAGAGAATGTATCATTTTAAGGGAAAAATCTGTTGTTTCCAAATTTCATGGCGTCAACAAATCCCAAAAAAGTTGGGACAAGTCCATTTTTACCACTGTGTCATCCCCCCTTCTTCTTACAACACTCAACAGACATCTGAGGACAGAAGAGACCAGTTTCTCAAGTTTAGAAATAGGAATGCTCTCCCATTCATGTCTAATACAGCCCTCTAACTATTCAATCATCTTGGGCGTTCTTTGCCACACCTTCCTCTTTATGATGCGCCAAATGTTCTCTATAGGTGAAAGATCTGGACTGCAGGCTGGCCATTTCAGTACCCGGATCCTTCTCCTACGTAGCCATGATGTTGTGATTGCTGCAGAATGTGGTCTGGCATTATCGTGTTGAAAAATGCAGGGTCTTCCCGGAAAGAGATGACGTCTAGATGGGAGCATATGTTGTTCTAGAACCTGAACATAGTTCTCTGCATTAATGGTGCCTTTCCAGACATGCAAGCTGCCCATGCCACAAGTGCTCATGCAACCCCATACCATCAGTGATACAGGCTTCTGAACGGAGCGTTGAAAACAACTTGGGCTATCCTTGTCCTCTCTGGTCCGGACGACATGGCGTCCCAGTGTTCCATAAAGAACTTCAAATCGTGACTCATCTGACCACAAAACAGTCTTCCATTTTGCCACACTCCATTTTAAATGACCCCTGGCCCAGTGCAAACGTCTGAGCTTGTGGAGCTTGCTTAGAAATGACTTCCTCTTTGCACTGTAGAGTTTCAGCTGGCAACGGCGGATGGCACGGTGGATTGTGTTCACTGACAATGCTTTCTGGAAGTATTCCTGAGCCCATTCTGTTATTTCCTTGACAGTGGCATTCCTGTTTCAGGTGCAGTGACGATAAGGGGCCCGGAGATCACAAGCATCCAGTAGAGTTTTACAACCTTGACCCTTACGCACAGCGATTGCTCCAGATTCTCTGAATCTTTTGATGATGTTATGCATGGCTGATGATGATACCTTAAAAAATCTTTAAAAATCTGCAGGTCCAGATGAACTTCCACCTTATTTCTTAAGGCTGGCTGCTCATATCATCACAGTCCCTGTGACCCACATCTTCAATCTCTCCATAAGACAAAACTCCATCCCAGACAATTGGAAAACAGCCTTTGTTCTTCCTTTGCTGAAGGGAGGTGACCCCACCTCATTGAACAACTATCAACCAATCTCTAAACTCTGCATTTTAGCCGAGGTTCTAGAAAAACTGATAAACTCTCAAATCAAAAATTACATGGACTCATTTAACATCTTACCTCCACATCAATCTGGTTTCAGGAAACAACACAGCACAACCACTGCTTCACTGAAGGTTCTTAATGATGTTGTTGAAGCACTGGAAGCTAAGGATTATTGTGCTGCACTTTTCTTAGACCTCTCTAAAGCTTTTGACACTGTGGATCATAACATCTTGTGTCATAAACTCTCAGAAATTGGTTTCTCAGAACACACCATTGGTTGGTTCTCTAACTATCTTTCAGACCGGAGGCATTGTGTTCAACATAATGGCACTTCCTCCATTTATTTAACAGTCAACAATGGTGTACCACGAGGCTCAGTCTTAGGACCCACCCTCTTTACAATTTACATACATAATGTAGGTAAAAACATCCCTAATGCATCCATACATTTCTATGCTGATGACACAGTTGTTTATTGGCGAGCTAAAACTGTTGCTAAGGCTTTCCAGCTTTTGAAATCTGCATTCAACTACATCCAGACAGATTTGTTCCGCCTCAAACTTGTCCTAAATGCCGACAAAACCAAAGGGATGCTTTTTTTCAAATAGGAAGTTGGTCCCAGCAGTTCTTCCTCCGATTTTATCCTCAAATGGTGTCCCCATTGAGTTTGTTGATTCCTATAAAGATTTGGGTATCTTGGTCGACTCACATCTCTCTTTTAAGCTCCATGTGGAAAACTTGGTAAAGAAACTGAAAGTTAAACTGGGTTTCTTTTTCAGAAACAGATCCTGTCTAACCCTGAATGCTAGAAAATACCTTGTTTCTGTGACTTTCCTTCCCTCCATTGATTACGGTAACATTATTTACATGAACGCTCCTACAAGCACCCTGCAGATGTTGGATGCTGTCTATCATGGTGTACTAAGATTCATAACTGGCTGTGATTATCATACCCACCACTGCACGCTGTATTCACTGGTTAACTGGACATCATTAACTTCACGCAGACTCTCTCACTGGTACATTTTCATCTTTAAATCACTTCTTGGTCTGTTGCCTTCATACATCTCCTCCTACATGTCTCTGTGTGAGTGCAGCTACGGAGTGCGCTCTCAGGACATTATTACCTGCAAAGATCCCTCAATGAGGACTGAACTAGGCAAAAGGGCCTTCTCCTACTCTGCTCCTGTTTCCTGGAATATCCTATAAAAAGATTTGAAGCTCTCGACCTTGACCTCTCTAAGTGGCTTTAAGAATCTGTTGGACTCCTGGCAGGGACCAATGCAGACATGTTCCTGTTTTTTGTTTTCTACATTCGCCTTAGAATCTAGCTGGTTTTTTTTTTTTGTTTGTTTTTGTTACCTTTTCCTTTTAGCCATCCTATTTGTAAAAAAAAAAAAAAAAAACCTGCAGTATGACTTTTTATAATTGTTTATTGTTGTTGCTGTTGTCCATTGTTGTCATCTTTCTTTGTTGAAATCAGGTCTCTCTTGTAAATGAGTCCTCGAGGCTCAATGGGATTTACCTGTCTAAATAAAGGTTGATAAAAGTCTTTGCTATTTTACGCTGGGTGACACTATTCTCGTATTGCTGCACTATCTTTCTGCGCAACAATGGTGGAATTGGTGATCCTCTTACCATCTTGGCTTCTGAGAGACACTGACACTGAGAAGCTCTTTTTATACCCAATCAAGTTGTCAATTTACTTAATTAGTGTTAATGGGTCTTCCAGCTGTTCGTTATATGCTCAATTTCCTTTTTCCAGCCACTTATTGCTACTTGTCCCAACCTTTTAGGGATTTGTTAAAAATGTGAAATTTTGAATGAACATATTTTTCCTTTAAAATGTTACATTAACTCAGATTAAAATTTTGATCTGTCATCTATGTTATATTACAAATAAAATATTGACATTTGCCATCTCCACAGCATTGCATTCAGTTTTTATTCACAATTTGTTTAGTGTCCCAACTTTTTTGGAATCCGGTTTGTAGCTCCATCTTGTATTACAGATCTTATTGTTCCATGTTTTCCTAACAGAGCACTTCGCTCTCAGGCTGAAGGTTTACTCGCGGTTCCTAGAGTTTCCAAAAACAGATTGGGAGGCGGAGCTTTCAGTTATCAGGCTCCTCTCTTGTGAAACCAAATTCCAGTTTCTGTCCGTGAGGCTGACACATTGTCCAGTTTTAAGATTGGGCTTGACTTTCGTTTTTGCTAAATCCTATAATTATGGTCGGCTTGGGTTTCCTGAGTTGTTCCTTAGTTATGCTGCTCTAGTCTTAGAGCTGGGCGATATCTCGATATTTTAAAAATATCTTTTTTTTTTTTTGCGTTAAAAGTTCAAACTATCTCTATATAAAACAATATATTTGTATATTTGAAAATCCTCCTGCTATCTCTTT